TTGGTTCTCACTGGTCGCCTGGGTAAAATCAGTTGCCGCAAGTGGACTAAGAATTATCTATTCCATGAACAATATTTAAATCGAATCTATCTTACCCGGTGCTTGGGTGTTTGGTGGTAACATGTGCAACGTCATCGTCCAACATTAGTGTCAGTCATGTTAGAATAACGTACCCTTTATAAAACAATTTTACACATTTTTCTCTTTTATACTTGTTGTCAAGGAGCACGAGTCAATATCAATCAATCTTATCAAATATATTCAGCAAGTCTATCTGGTGCCAGAAACAATTAAAGTTTGTTTCACGTGCATCTCAAACAAAATATGAGATTTTGCAATCGGATAACGCGTTAGAAAGGATTGTTTGGTAATCGATTACTATTATCACCATACATAGAATATAAGAGTTGTCATAAAAATGCACGTGCAAAATGAATATAACATCCCTTTTCAAATTTTAAGCAAGTAAAGTAGAGTTGAATATTATCCTAAAACCACGATTGCAAGGTCTTTAGAGAAAACAGCGGAAAACTACACAGTAAAGCAAAAATCAAAGATTGTTTAATCAAATAAAATTATTTCAGAGAATGGAAAAACTTCAGAACATTACAAAAGCATAAGGCATTACATATAAAGCTTACCGTATTAAAATAAATTCTTAAAATATTACTTGCTCATAAAATATAAATATTTTAAAGATATTTTTTATTTAAAATCGTTCGGAATCTAATGAAAACAATATCATATATATATTTGCCTATTCATTTTGTCACATTACAGACTAGAACGATAGTAAAATACATCTTATGTCCAATGCATACGAAAGTTTGTCTATGTACAGGAACAAATCTCGTCTGCATGCAAGAACATTAAATATAAAGAGTAATAAATATCAATCATTTTAAAATTTATATTTTAAATAAATATTATGAAGCGGTCTCTTTGGTGAAATTGGTAAATGACGACTTTTCATGTGCACGAACTCTGTACGTTCTAAATTTTGTTCATACAATGGTATGTTTTTCTTTTTCTGTAAAATCGTATTGTAAATGTACATAAAACAGTATTTACCAAAATTATAACATTTACTCTATATTGTCACTCTTATTTTTCAATAGCAATCATCAATATGAATATGCACATATTATTTCTAAAGCAAGGAATAAAATATCCTTAGTGGAAATATTTTACCATTATTACACACTGCTGACACAAACATTAATGATATGATTTATTTGTCCTTAAATCTCACAAAGGCAAGGCGACGTTAGCAGTAGACAGCCAACGACTTAATCCAATCGCATCGACATGATGCCCTAATAGGGCACCGAACCAAAACCGTGAGAGAGCCAAGGTTGCTCTGAGTGTACGTCAACTACTCGATCATTTCTGTTTCTTTTAAACAGTTGCAATACTTATTTTAAAGTTATTTCTGATGAAATTTGGTAAAATATATGTACTAAAATGATCGCAAAGACGCGATCATGTTGCATGTTTTTTATGATATAGACATTAAAAGTACTGTTGTTGACTTTATAATAACCGATACAAGTACATGAACCCCACACGTCTTTTGAGAATTTATCTTGTATATAAGGGTAATAACATTTTCCAGTTTATTGATATGCACTCCATGTGAATTGCCATAAAACACAGAAAAACAAATTTTGAGCAATACAAAACGCTTATTTCGCTCTTTTCTAGACAACGTCGTGTAATAAAAACAGCACTAACCAAATAAGAACAACAACAACAAACAAATAGTACAAAATTACGCTTTGACGACGTTTCCGAACTTGTTCTAGAAAACACCTTTCATATCAATTGATTGTAAACATCTGCTTGATTTACACATAGAAAATTCAAACAAATCCTCAAGCTTAATTATATATCATATTTTGAACGACCGTAATAATAATATTTCAATAGTTTTCCATTTTCTATGTTTTGTTTTATTTAAGAGAAAACCGTTAATATCACAATGCTTCAAAAACATAAAATAATAATAAATAAAAAAAACAATCAAAGCAAAAGCTGTGCAAAACATGGCTTGTACAAGCCAAAATCGCCGAATTACCTAAACCCTCCATATTTACTTCTTCTTAAATAACTACATGTCAACTTAAATTTTGCTTCCATGAATTCTCATTCGGTTATTCTATTAGAGTAGAAGCAGACGTATTTAAGCCATATTACAATAATAGTTTACGTGGCATAGGCATCTTTAAGTTCTAAAGGAGTTCTGTCTATCGCTTTATTATCCATTAATTTGTCTTTATTACAATTGTAATGTATTGGTTGTCTGTTATACTGCCAATACAGAAAAGAGTTTTGCTTCCCTAATGTATCTCTTTTACTTTGACCATATCATTAGAGCTTTGTACTAGACGGTGATATACAGTATACGTATTTTTTTTTAAAAAAAAGGCTAAATCTAAATATATGTCCAACTATTAACATATTAACATTGTATGTGCCTTGTATGTACTTTTTCAGGAGAACTTTTGAATAAGTGAATAAATCTTACACAAGTTAAAATATAAAATATAAACAGTTTAAACATAAACTTGCATAGTGAAAGATTTAATCCAGCTAGGACTAAATTGCAGCGATGTACTGCTATATACAGCATTCAAAAATCTTAACATGAACAACTTAAACAACTCTTAATTGTTATTTTGCAATAGTAAACTTTTTCCCTATGTTTCTAAGGATGAAACACAATGAAACTATATAAATGAATATAAAACAAAACATTTCAAGACTTTTTAAACATTTTTAAATGATTTTAAAATTGTTCTTAACTGTTAGATTTATATTAAACATAGAAAATTATATTTTCAATATGTCACGAAAGCGACATTTACATAGTTAATATTAAATGTGAATGTTCATAAAATTGCATTTTTGTATTTTCTGATCAAAGATCAGGAAATACAAAGCTGACATTCAATCTCTGACACAGCGGTTCACGACAAACCTAACAACAAGTAGTTCTTAAAACAGCTTAAAACTAGCTATTTTACAAGAAAGAAATATTTTTATTTTGTTACAAGTATCCAACAAATTACAACGCATTCAAAGTTTAAAAGTAGCTTTGGGTTATAGAATTGTCAATAAATGCACAATCACAAATTACGCGGATGAATATGATTTTAATCAATGAAAATGCTATTTTTAGCGATGTCGATCAGAGCGTATTACACAAATAAATCCGACTGTCGAGTAGTGAAATATATATATATGTTTTGGCGCTAAATTATTTACTTCAATGTTAAACAACAGGTTTATGGTGAACAAAATACCTCGAAATTAATAAGGATTACAAACCCGAAATGCAATGTTTGAAATTCTACATTTAGTATTACTTGATTTTATTCAGGCTTACTTCGTATAACTAGTAGTCATGAAAAAAAATCAACTCAAACACTTTTACCACAAACTTATACACAGTCTCGATATATTTGTTACATATTGAAAGGATATATCAATGAGAGGGGAAACTAATTTCAAGGCAATGATAAAAGTTCTAAAATAGAATTTCTTGAAAGGCTCCCCTACCTTTTGATTCGTAACGTAGAGTAATGGAGCAAATTAATTATTTTATTTCAATAAGTTGTAAAAAAGATCAAACAATGGCATCTACAAACTATTAAAGAAAGATTTGATATATATCAATTTTCATCAATTAAACCTGCTTTCAAAGGAGTGTCTTTCGATATCAGAAATAACATACTAATAAATGTTATCTAATTTTTTTTAAAGAAAATAATTCTAATTCCTAATGTCTTATATTGATTCATTTTATGTCTAGTAGACATATTCAATTAATTGACTGTTGCTTGACATAATGTGTAACACTGGTGAATAAATTGATACATTAAAAATAAATGTTTCACATAATCATTTCCATGAATATCAATTACACTTCCTTCAACTCATTCCATTAATCGTTTCTTTCAGGATTTTTTTTTTGTAATTTTCCTTATTAAAAGATAATAAATCCTGCGAAAATTGGTATCAATTCAATGAAGTTTAAGTGAAAAATCAATTACAGATTGTGCTAACAAGAACCAAAAATAGATGGTTACAGATTTAAAATAAAAGAGAGTGTTTTACTTTATTTAGCCATACCTTAAAATGCTTTAAAATGTAATTTCAGGGGGGAAAAAGAACCTGTGAAAAAATTTACTTAGTTTTTGGTTGAAACAATTCTATTGAGCCAAAAAAGAGGAGAAAACAACAACAGGTTCTGTTAAATAAGCAAATGTTCTCTTTCCAAAGAAATCACAACCTATAAGACTTTAAATTTAGGTACGTCAAAGAAATTGTTTTGCAAACAGTCTTACGTGTATAATGATTTCAATGAGATTCTCTGCTAGATGTGACGTTGAAATGTGCAATTTTGTGCTGTACAATTCTCTTTTCATGGATAATTGCAAGTTTACTAAAAAAAATTAATGATGCCTGGTTCATTTATTCTCTTGTCTGTACTTTTGTTTTGGGATTACATGGAAGGATATTGCATTGCTGTAAGGAAGAAAGTATGTGTGTACTAGTACTGTCTGTAGAAAAGGAGTTTGAAATCTTTTTATAAACGAAGTTAAAATCAACCTAATCCTATTTATGCATATCCAATAATTTGCAGTTATCTTTGATTTCAACGTGAATTAAAAAATGAACTGTCTGCGGTCAAACCTGCTATAAACTAGCTATCACAGTGTTATATCTCAAAATAACCAACTTACTGAAACATAGTTCATAATTGCCTTTTTGACATACTTATTTCATAAAGTATCAAATTAGACAGGGATGTCTTGACTTGCCAAATACAGGAAAGTCGAGCAATAAATGTTCAAGCATAATAAGTATAAAATCATGCTTTAGAGACTTCTAAGTCATAGTAACGTCACTAGACAGTGACGTCATAAGTATGTAATATTATCTATTTCAAGACTAATTAACTCTGAAATATATCTCAACTAGTGCATTCAACTTACCGCTATCCTTTCTATACGTCTACATTTATATATTGGTCATGAGTTGCCAAGTTGTATCAAATCATCTGAAAATAGAAAAATAATGCCAACATGATGATAGCAATTCAATTGACCATACCTATTCAATATGTATTACGAATATCAAAATTGTAATGTTCATAAAGTAATTCTCACACATAACATTTACACCATTTTAAAATCATGTTTGTTGAGAATAATCAAAACTACAATTAGCATTGTAAACTACGAACATCATTGTACATCTCTTTAAATGATAAGAACAATTTGTCACAAATTGTTTTTATCACAGTCGCCAGCATAACAAACAATATAAATCTACTATCACTATTCTTAGAGACATAAACATAAAATGTGTTTCATTCCACAAAGCAATGAATAAGACAACAACATTATCTTAAAAGCGGTTTGGTCCACATGGGGTACATTTTCCAAAAGTATTTCAAATATTGATACAAACAACATATATGTATCTTTTGGATATTCTTATAAAATATCATTTTGAATTCTAAGTGATTTAGTACATGTATAAACATTTATATGATGAATAATAATAGTTTGTTCTGGAACATTTTATTTTTTTGTGTTATAAATATAATGTTATATCGAATCATGTATCTCACACGTGCCAACAACATCCATAAATAGTTCGTTTGTGGCGTGTTGTTATTTCCGATACTAAATGCAATTTACATGTTTACTCATGGTTTAGCAGACCTTTTATTACAGACTTATTTATTTTAACCATTCAAAGAATATTATAAATGATGGCCACAAATAGTATCATTGTAGTATAAAATCTTTTTGCTAATTCATCTTTTATCATACTGATGTTTCAACAATGTACTAAGGAACGAAGAAAAACAAATATTATGAAACTTTACACCAGAACAAGAATAGCCCGTATCTCACCAAGAACATAGCAGCCAAAGCAAGAATTGGAAACATTAATTATTAAAATACTTAGAAATGATTGATGTATATCTATTGAATCTTGTAGTCAGAATAGCAGTAACCTTGAGTACAGGAGTACCTAAAGGATTTCTCCTCACGAGATGGTGATTGCAGGTACGTTTATACTAAAGTTTTAGTTACTATGCATCATGCAAATCGTAAAACCTTTTTCCTCATTACACTGAAAACTACGAAGCATGTGTAGGAATCTTACTTGCAAAATATAACATTTCCACATAATGTTCTGATCTCTTGACTTTTGTGTTTTTTTATTATTTTAAGTGATAACATTAGCCCAAAGAATGCTGGTAAAGATAATTTCTCATTGTTTGGATGATTTTGATGAAAAACTTTATTTCATTAAAAAAACGTTTACACGTGACAATTTTTATTGAAATGATATTGATACTGATATCAAATAAATTGCAAGGTCTTTACTCAGATTTCAGCAATAAAATGTATTTAAATTTGCAATTTAAAAAAAACAATGCCAATTAAAGTCAGCTTTTGTAAAAAAATGTATTAAACTATGGCAGAGTATTGTAGACACGTTTCTCCGAGTTTGTCAAAAACGTCAAGGTTATTAGACAATACCATTCAATCTTATCAAAAATAAAAATAAAAATTCTAAGACCAATTGGTGCCATTAACAATTTGTTTCACAGGGAGCTAAAATAAAATGTGCTTTTTGCAAATACATGTAAGAATAAATCCTCGAAAATGCTGAACAAAGAAATCTTAATGATTGATTGAAAAGATCACCGACGAAAGAAAAGTCGTCATAAAAATACCCGTGAGAGAATAAAATCAGGTTTCTTGTCTAATTTCAAACAAGACAATTTTGGCTATGTATTATCTTGACATTCGTTATATGATGAAAATACGACATTCTCTAAGGAACGCACAACCAAATAAAGGGAATTTGAAGATATGAAGTACAGTTAACACTGCAAGGATACAAATTATCAAATTGAGAAAATAAGAATCCCTTATGAAAGTCAAAAAGGGCAAAATTGAATATGTTGCAGGTACGCTTTAATTTAGCTTGTTAATGGACGGAACTGTCAAGTGCAAACTACCGTCCACGTCCCAAAGCACTGGTTTAAGCAGAATTCAACTTTTAAACATGAACATCCTTAGAATATCTAGTACCAATGTTTTAGGTTAACAAACTTACCGGGTTTACTGTAGAAAGTACAGAAAGTATACCAGATGTAATCACATGATGTATTTAAATTGTTGAAGCATTAGCCTTAGTGTAAATGAGTATATGGACATATTGCTTACATAGTCATAACAACATTTCAATGATGTACTTAATATATACTGTAAGTAGATAAGATATTAAAATAAAAGAAAATCATAAAAATAGCATTATTATTCAATAAATTCTGAGTAAGCTTACATGTCCATGATAGTGAATACCTTTGATAATTTGTGAGAAAAGTATATAAGCAAAACTGGTCAGTAGAAAAGGGGACATAGCTTTCCAAAAACAAGATTATCTGCTCTGTATATGCCGTCAATATTTTTATAGTTCCTTCAAATGTTGACCAACCCTGAACATGATAATAGCTTCACGCTTTTTCTACGAAAATAGGAGCTAAAACGCTTTTGCAGATAAGATGTATTCGAAATTGAACCCTGTTGAAAATAAATATTGTCTTTGGGCTATTTGATCATACGTAATTTTAGCCACAAGGTAATGATATCCTGGAAAGCGCAAACGTTACTAACCACAATTATCTGATACCGGATTTTCACATGATGTACTTTAATGATATATACAAAAAGTGAAAAGCCGTAGATGCATGACCGTCTGCTCATCTCTCCTTTTTTTGGATGGGTTTAACGTCGCACCAACATAGTATATGTCCTATGGCGATTTTCATGCTTTACTGGTATCCGTACATTATCTCAGGCACGAACGAGCACCCGAGTAGAACCTGTTATGTTCCGCAAGCTACCAGGATAGCTTTTTAACAAGTCTCTGTCGGGATTCGAACCTAAAGCGATAAGTGGTATGACGACCTTAACCACTGGGTCACGGACGCACCTAGCACAACATTGAGCAAGATAAAATATAATTCAAACTGAAATATTAAAAGCATGATAACCAATAGTATGTATGAACATTTCAGTGTCCATGGCATAACACACAGATATATGTCAATAACTTCAAGCATGAAACATCCCTCCATATATTGTGCGAGATTTACTTGAGTGTACAAACGAGATGATTTATAAGACTGACGACTAAAGAAGTCGAAACAATCAGCAGGTTTTACAATTGTAGTGGGTAAGAACAGCAAATTTCTGCAGCCGATGTCTCGATGATTGATTGGAAATATTACACAGTGACAAGGGTTTGCCTGGTATATGGAATAGGAAATATTTTTATTACCAATACTTACATTATATTAATTCCAAGATCGGAAACGGTCGTTAACAAACGCACAGAGCCAAGTTATACTGTTATGTTAAGTGAAACCTGTTTCGAAAATGATACAATCGACAAAACAGCATTGTTTATTTTTTGTCTTTTAATTCTCTGTTTGTTCCAGTTGTAGAAAAATCGAAATTAATTCGATATTCTATAAAGATACAACAAAATAAAAATCGAGTACATGAAATGCATCTGTTAAGACCCAAGGTCTTTAAAATGTTTTTCTTTAACACTGTTTGTTCGTTTGGTTTTACGGCGCACCAACACAGTTTAGATCATATGGCGCCGAAACAGGAAAGATGACTTTGGCTAACCCCGGGAATGGCTTTTTCCATTTTAAGTAAAAATCGAAATTAAGTCTTTTATTTAATAAACAAACAACAAAATTTATATGGAATACATGAAATACATCTGTTAAAAACTCTAATCAATCTTTCTAGCCGATCAAGGTCTATATAGGACATAATGTTTTTCTTATTCTAATAGCAGACGAGAGAGTGTGAAAATAATGGGAAGTTTAAATTTGTCGTCTGGGGCACAGGACGCTGCATACAATTATCATTGATCTTAACTGGATAGATGAAACAGATATGTATTAGTGTTTGTGAGGAATGAATTTAATATAAACTATATGTGGTTTATATGTGGTCGATTTTAATTGATAAGTGTAATTGTTGTTTTTTTTATATTATAACTTTTAAAGACTGCTGCAAAGTTAAGAATTTTATTTTCTCTGGCAAAAACACACATCTAATTAGCAGTAAACATGATTTTAATGCACAATATGCCTAAGAATTCCATATTTTTAATTCTACACGTGTTTAATAGTGTTTTTAAATGGACTTATACCATGTAAGACGTTTAACAATTAGGTGCGGTTATTTGTCGTAATGGTACATAGTAGTATTTTGACTTCCATACAAAAAATTAATTCACTTTAATTTTCTAATTACCAACAAAGGAAACGATAGCTCATGTATATAGCAAATGAGTATTTTGTTTGAAACTATAAAAAGATACCAAAACTAAAAAGTTTCTGAGAAATGAAAATGATATCATTTCTGAAGCCTAAAGGACCTTAACAAATTAAATAAAAAAAAAACGGAATTATTAAAGTGGCATTATGCTAATATTTTCATGGTCAAGTTGAGCTAAATTAACTTTATATTTGAAAAAAAAAATTGACTGTCAAAATGGTAAATGACCAACAGTTGATATTGGAAAATGTTTAGGAAAAAAATATAAATCTGTCTAAAAATTAAAAAGACTGCCCCACTCTTTCTATAAAGTAAGCGTTATAGGTAAATTCTTATGGATATTTACAGAAATTTTGTTTGAATCTGTGAGTTATTCTTTGTTTACGCGAACTTAATTATTAAATTAAAAGAAATTATGGCAAAAGGAAAACATATTTTGACTTTCGCCCGTTCACTCACTATACACCCTTGGATGGGCATAATGTCACTTTAATCTTTGTGAACGAATTCAGTCAATATGTAAATTGTAATTCTGAAAATAATGCACTAACGCTCGAACTTTTGCTGTCCGAATTAATTCATCATAAAAAATTAAAGAGGAACGCCGCACCTTAACTTCCTTGGTAATATTATAATCCTAGACTAATTAATTTCCTGTTATGAACATTTT